AAAGTCAGGCATCAATCTGTCCGATCGCGGCGAGGCTGAGGTAGACGACGTGTTGCCGGCGGACTGTCCTGACGCGCTCCCCGGACCAGTCGACGATATGCTTGGCGCATTGCTGCGTCCGGGGATGTCCATCGGCTCCGAAGGCTCACTCGCCGGAACCTGCAAACCTTCATTATTATAGGGCACCCTACGCTGTTCAACGGCAGCGCGGACCTCTGCATAACCAGGGCGTGCCTTGTTGGCCTTGTCTGCCGGCTGCCGCTGCATCTCTCCATCAGGGACCTCGTCACCGCTGGTTGTCTGCGCATCCTTCTTGAGTCCGCCCCAGTTGACGCCCCATTTCCGCATAGCCTCCTTGGCAGAATTGCTGATGGCCTGTTTGTCGCGCGTTTTGAGCGTCTGGAAGAAGTTGGACGTAGGGCTCCCAGGATTGGTCTTTACGGATGCCGCAGGGCTTTTCGACCTGAGGCCGGCCAAAAGAGACTCGGCTGGACTGGTGGATGGTGCGCCGGAAGAGCTGCTCTGGGCTGCATCCTGCGAAGGTGCAGAATACGACGAGTGCCGCGACAAAGACCGACGAGCAGGCACCCGAGAGTCAGATTCTTCCGATCCGCTGTGATTATCGGACGTATCCGAACGGGCAGAGCCTTCAGTTTGGGTGTCATGAGGGGTAGAGCTCGATCTGCGGTTGTCCGCCACATCAGGGGCACCAGTCCGACCTCGCTCAGGCTCCGTAAGCTCGGGGTGACTAGGCTGTTCAGGTGATGTGATGCCTTCATCTCGACTGCCGCCGAACCAAGTGCGTTTTCTGGCGGCGGAGCCGGTGGATGAAACTGATGATGTCGAGATAGTTTTGGCGCGAGATGAGAGAGCAGGGGGTATCGTTTCGGGCGTAGCGTCAACGGTCACCTGGGTCTCGATGGGAGCGGAACTGGACCGTTGCAGACCAACGTGGTCTATATCTGACGCGAGCGGCGTGGTAGGGTCAGAGGCAGGTGCTGACGAAGGCGGTTTCTCCTCATCTGAATCTGGTGAAGTCGGGAACAGTTCGCGTTCGTTGCGTGATGCATCGGCCCAGATACCACCACGGTGCATATACTTCGAGCTCTCAAAGAACGCGATGTCATCCATGTTCGGTAGCACTACGGACTCCTGGATCTGTAGATAGTTAGCCACCGAGTTGATTAATGAGATTACAATGATGAGAGCTCACCACTTCCTTCAACCGAGATTCAATCGTGCTAAGGATCATGCTCCATGTTATTTGTCGATCGCTCACGACCGGCTCCACGTCCAACACCATTCGCGGCATCTGCGTGAAGGCGTACCAGATACGGTTGCTTGGGGGACGCTTGACCTTGATAAGGAGGTTGCCCTCGATCTCCCGTAGTACGGCAGCGAGCACTAATTTCACTGTGTATGACTTGAAACGTGCACCCAAGTTAATGGTTGCCGTAGCATCCACAGTAATGCGGACCTCGCCCTTGTAGTGGAGATGAATTTCGAGGGAGGCATCACCTTCTTTGGTGAGCTCCTTGAGCATAGGTTTGCTGAGCGTGGGTGCCTTGTTCCCGACGGATACTTCGCGAACCGATAGGTCTGTTAGGAAGCCGGGTCGCTTAATCTTGGACAACTTGCGCATCAGGCGGCCAATGATGTACGACTCCAGCTGCTGCGTTCTGTAGAAGCTGAAAAAGATTCGTCCAATCAAGGCGTTCAGCCAGCGCATGGGAATGACGTCCGGCTGCTCATCGAGAGTCTCGATGAGGTGCAGTACGTCGGATGGGCGGAAGACTGGCTGGAGTGGCGCAAGGGTCGAGCTGTTCGGCGGATTGTCTGATGCATGGACGAGAGCGAAGTACCAGTCCTCCATATCCACGTTTGAGCGAACGAAGATGAACCATGGGGTAGACGGATCGAGGGCCTCCTGCCTCGCCTCCTCGTGCCGCTTCTCGAGCTCCTGTGCCCGCGCCTTGTCCCTCTGCTTCTGCTTCTCGCCTCCTCCCTTCTGTAACACCTCGTCCGTGAAGTCTGGCGTCGTCTGCATCTCCTTCGTGATGCTCGGCATGCTATCGTCCACATTCGGCACCTTGGGCTTCAAGCAGATAGCGTTCCGCTTCGCGAAGAGCTCGCCGTCTTGGAGACCCTCGGGATAGACAACAATATCGTGACTTCCAAGCTCTATGGCGGCCTCGCACTCCGTCATGTTTTCGTCCTCGTACAGATATAGGACCTTCCCCTTGAGCACCATGTACCACATGTCCTTTGGCCGGGAACGCTTTGGATCCTTGGACCGCGCATCCAAAAAGCCCTTGACGAGCCCGACGTACGAGCCGTCACTTGCGGTCTCCTCAAACGTCCTGCGCACTGTCATCCAACCCCTCCGAGTCTTGGGGAGGTCATTGAGCTCGGACGGCGCAGAAGGGGTGGCTGGAGCTGCTCCTTCGCCCTCTTTCTCGCCTTCGAGAGCTTGAGAGCGCTGCTCTAACTTCGCACGAGCGTGTTTGTCGATGTCCGGATCCCCCACGGGTACGGACGTGTATATCGCATAGAAGCAGGCTGCAAGGACGACGAGCGGGATGAATGTGAGACCTCCGAGCACATAAGCATAGACAATGGCCTTGAAAGACATGAACTGTCTGCACAGCCGACTATATGCGCGTCCTAGGGAGACGATTGTGGGTGTTACAAGGAGCCAGGTTGGGTGAGTTGGTTGTAGAGGAAGAGAGGGACGAGGCAAGTGCCACAAGTGCAACTCAAGGTGCCCGCCATGCCCCGCGTCACCGTCTGCGAGTCACGTGGCAGATCCAGCACAAGCGCGCGATGACACGCGTCAGGAGTACTAGTCTCTAGTTGCGTCAACACAAAAAGTGCTACAATACATCCGGCGAACGACTGGCCAA